TTTTTTAAATTCTTTTAGCATTCTGTGCATTGACAAGAGGTAAAATGACTGAAACTTAAATGTGAAAGAACACAATTAAATCCACAATTGTAAACATTTATCTTATTCACGTCAGTGAAAAATCCCCAATTATTATAAAAACAGGACAAATTACATCACAAAAGAAGCAAAAATTAGAAAAAAAATTCATAAAAAAATATATCCAACTATGAAAAGTATTGCTCTCTTGGTGTCTTCACATCCTTCTCTTCTGTGTACTGAGGTATAACACATTGTTTCCTCGGATAAATGCGTCCCCATACTTATTCTTCAGTTGTCCATTTACATATTCCTCTGTCTGCTCCAGGGCTATATTCATGCAGCCATCCAGGCAAGCCAGGACCCCTCGATAATCCACTCCAGAATTTCATTTTACCACAACTGGTCGTCCAATGATTTGCTTTAAGAAGTCACTAGGGGTTTGCTTCCGAAGACTCATTTTAACAATCTTGGGATGCAGGAAACTTCAGTTCTAATCCCAGCTCTGCTACTTAATTAGCTGTTTGACTTGGCTAACTCATCTCACCTCTCAGGTTTCTTATCTCCCTGGCGGGATCCAGAACCCTCGCTACAGGTACCCCAAGAGTCCGGCCTCCGTGGACTTCATTGAATCGAAAAAAAAAAATTTTTTTTTTTTTTTGATGGAGTCTCACTCTGTCACCCATGCTGGATGGAGTACAGCAGCACCATCTTGGCTCACTGCAAACTTCACCTCCCCAGTTCAAGCGATTCTCCTGCCTCAGCCTCCTGAGTAGCTGAGATTACAGGCATGCACCACCACACCTGGCTTATTTTTTATATTTTTAGTAGAGATGGGGCTTCACCATATTGGTCAGGCTGGTCTTGAACTCTTGACCTAGAGTGATCTGCCTGCCTCAGCCTCCCAAAGCACAGGGGTTACAGGCGTGAGCCACCGTGCCCAGACCTGAAATTAATCAATATTCTTATTTGACTACCTGGTGGCAGAAACTTCAGTCCTCTAAGAAAGGGCCTGACTAGTGTCTCAAAGACAACAGAGTGGTGTGGGTATAGTGGCTCACCCCTCTAATCCCACACTTTGGGAAACCAAGGCGGACAGGTTGCTTTAGGCCAGGAGTTCAAGACCAACCTGGCCATCATGGTGAAATCCTGTCTCTACTAAAATACAAAAATTAGCTGGGTGAGGTGGTATGCACCTATAGTCCCAGCTCCTCGGGAGGCTGAGTTAATTAAAATTAAAACTTAAAACTTCATTTCCTCAGTCTTACCAGCTACAATTCAACTGTGGTTACTAGCTACCATATTGGATAGCACAGACATAGCACATTTCAATCACTGCAGAAACTTTTATTAGACAGCCTTGCTCTATTTCTCATCTCCAAACTCTACCAGACATTACTTCTATTTCTACTTGGTCCTCAATGGGCATTAAATTACAACTAGTTTTTTCATGTACAAATAGGTCAAAGGAAAATAAATTATTACTATCATATTTAAAGTGTCTGCCTCCCCATCTTTTTTATCTCAATGTTCAACATATAAAAAGAGCTAAGTGGCTGGGCGCCGTGGCTCACACCTGTAATCCTAGCACTTTAGGAGGCCGAGGCAGGCGGATCACCTGAGGTCAGGAGTTTGAGACCAGCCTGACCTACATGGAGAAACCCCATCTCTACTAAAAATACAAAATTAGCTGGGTATGGTGGTACATGCCTGTAATCCCAGCTTCTCAGGAAGCTGAAGCAGGAGAATCGCTTGAACCTGGAATTTTATATGTTGAAGCAGAGGTTGCAGTGAGCTGATATGGTGCCATCCTGGAAAACTACCAAAACTCCATCTCAAAAAAAAAAAAAAAAAGGCTAAATAAGCCAGGTGTGGTGGCTGAGGCCTGTAGTCCCAGTTACTTTGGAGGCTGAGGCAGAAGGATAGCTTGAGCCCAGAAGCTCAAGGCTGCAGTGAGCCATGATTGCACCCACTGCATTACAGTCTGGGCAATCAGAGCAAGATCCTATTTCTTAAAAAAAAAGAAAATTTAAAAATCAAGAGCTCAATAAAAGTAATTAACATGAGTCTCAGAACCCATTCTGGAGACTGTCGGGTCCTTGACTGAGAATGAGTCAGTCCACCTCTGCTACTTGGGATGATGAAATAGAGCACACACACAAAATTTACAGGCCAGAAATAGGACTCCAAGAAATCTTCATACCCCATATTAGACAAAGTACAGATGCTAAATGGGAGACTGAACACTGTCCCGAAGGAAGTCTAAACCATCTGCAGGTCCAGAACTGAAGAATTGGGATCACTCAAGGATCCGGGATGCTTCTCTGTTTTCCCTTCACCAGTTCAATTTTCACTTTACTATCACTAACTCCTTTCCAGTCCATTTGATATCCAGAGCTCAAAAAAGCCAGTGTTCTAGGTACCATTCACTAGTTAAATGACTGTCTTTGGGAAGAAAAAAGGGGCAAGACATGGTCAATCACCCCAGTAACTCCAGCACATTGGAAGGCTTAGGTAGGAAGATTGCTTGAGGCCAGGAATTTGAAACCAGCCTGTGTAACACAGCGAGCACATCTCACAGAAATAATTTTTTATCATCCACACACGGTGGTGTGTAACTGTAGTCCCAGCTACTCAGGAGACTGAGGCAGGAAGATCACTTGGGCCTAGGAGTTGGAGGTTATTATAGTAGCCTCCTACCACCTGTCTATGATCATGCCACTGCAATCCAGCCTTGATGACAGACTGACACCCTAGAATTAAAAAAACATTAAAGAGAAAAAAAAATCTTACCTACTGCCTATACTTTTGTCAACAGGCTGGGATCTGGCCTTCAATTGATATATATCAAGCAATGGCGTAAAAGACTGAAAGACTGTGAGAGTTACGGTTCCCTGTAGTAAGATAAGAATGCCTTTACGGCCGGGCGCGGTGGCTCACGCTTGTAATACCAGCACTTTGGGAGGCCGAGGCGGGTGGATCACGAGGTCAAGAGATCGAGACCATCCTGGTCAACATGGTGAAACCCCGTCTCTACTAAAACTACAAAAAATTAGCTGGGCATGGTNAGACCATCCTGGTCAACATGGTGAAACCCCGTCTCTACTAAAACTACAAAAAATTAGCTGGGCATGGTGGCGTGTGCCTGTAATCCCAGCTACTCAGGAGGCTGAGGCAGGAGAACTGCCTGAACCCAGGAGGCGGAGGTTGCGGTGAGCCGAGATCGCGCCATTGCACTCCAGTCTGGGTAACAGGAGCGAAACTCCATCTCCAAAAAAAAAAAAAGAATGGCTTTACGGCCTTGTTACATATTTATACCTAATAGGGAAACCCAGTTTCTTCAGCTCAGTAAAATTTGTTCACTAAAAAATTCTTTTTTTTTTTTTGAGATGGAATCTTGCTCTGTCACCAAGGTTGGAGTGCAGTAGCACAATCTGACCTCACTGTAACTTCCGTCTCCCAGGTTCAAGCGATTCTCCTGCCTGAACATCACAAGTAGCTGGGACCAAAAGCACACACCACCACGTTTGGTTAATTTTTGCATTTTTAATAGAGGCAGACTTTTGTCATATTTGCCAGGCTGATCTTGAACTTCTGGCCTAAAGTAATCTGCCTGCCTCAACTTCCCAAAGTGCTGGGATTACAAGTGTGGGCCACTGCGCCCAGCCAAAAAAATTCTCATTTAAACATTCATATACAAAAAGGAGACAATTTACCCTTTGTGAAGTAAATTCTAAAGTCTAAGTTCTATGATGTGCAAAAGCTCAGGATATCAAGAAATAGGATAGTACGTGGAGAGTAATTACAAGGAGTCTGAGTTCCCAGAGTAAGATGCTGAGCTCCTGGAGTAAGATGAGAAGGTTCCATCCAGACACACCTTTTTATATGTTGTCTCTCCTGAGGAATCAACACCTCGATGGCCTATTTTCTTGATGGGCATGCCAGAGGTATAAGGCACCTATAAGAAGAAGAGTCAAGATTATAATTTGATTCCCATGTAAGATACCAAATAGCTACCATAATGGTACATCAAAACAAAATTAACTGAAACAACATATTCTTTCTAGAATGTTTGTAAAAACATTTTGCAAAATCTTCAGAAGATCTACCCCATGCTATCTATAGCTATAATGCTGCTTCCCAATGAATTAAGTGGCTAAAAGATCACAGAAGAAAACTCCAGGGGACACATATTTTCCCTTTGGTCCTCAGAAGCACAGAAAATAAAAATATCTTTATTTTTTGTTACTTTTTTGAGATGGAGTTTTGCTCTTGTTGCTGGAGTGCAATGGCACAATCTCAGGTCACTGCTACCTCCGCCTCCTGGGTTCAAGCGATTCTCCCGCCTCAGCCCCCCGAGTAGCTGGGATTACAGGCACCCGCCACCATGCCCGGCTAATTTTTGTATTTTTGTATTTTTTTGTTTTGTTTTGAGATGGAGTTTCGCTCTTGTTACCCAGGCTGGAGTGCAATGGTGCGATCTCGGCTCACCGCAACCTTCGACTCCTGGGTTCAAGCAATTCTCCTGCCTCAGCCTCCCAAGTAGCTGGGACTACAGGCCTGCGCCACCATGCTCAGCTAATTTTTGTATTTTTAGTAGATACAGGGTTTCACCATGTTGACTAGGATGGTCTCGATCTTTTGACCTCATGATCTACCTGCCTTGGCCTCCCAAAGTGCTGGGATTATAGGCGTGAGCCACCACGCCCGGCCACGTATTTTTGTATTTTTAATACAGATGGGATTTCACCATGTTGGCCAGGCTGGTCTCAAACTGCTGACCTCAAGTGATCTACCCACCTCAGCCTTCCAAAGTGCCACGATTACAGATGTCAGCCACCATGCCCGGCCAGAAAATAAAATTATTTTTAAATAGTAGTAGAAACATAGCTGGGTGCTGCTGTCACATGCAGCTGTAATCTCAGCTACTCAGGAGGCCAAGCAGGAAGGTCACATGAGCCTAGGAGTTTGATACCAGCCTGGCTGGGCAATATGGCAAAACCCTATCTCCAACTAAAAATACAAAAAGTTTGCCTGGCATGGTGGCACGCATCTGTAATCCCAGCTACTCAAGAGGCTGAGGCATGAGAACCGCTTGAATCCAGGAGGCAGAGGTTGCAGTGAGCCGAGATCATGCCACCAGACTCCAGCACTCAACTCAATGCATGATTCTGTCTGGAAAAAAAAAAAAAAAGAAAAGAAACAAAGCAAGCAAGGTTGAAGGAGGGAAAGTAGAGAATAGCAGTCATAGGCCAAGCAGGGTGGCTCACGCCTGTATTCCCAACACTTTGGGAGGTCAAGGCGGGCGGATCACCTCAGGTCAGGAGTGCAAAACCAGCCTGGTCAACATGGTGAAACCACGTCTCTACTAAAAATACAAAAATTAGCCAGGCGTGGTGGCATGAGCCTGTAATCCCAGCTGCTAGGGAAGCTGAGGCAGAATTGCCTGAGCCTGGGAGGTGAAGATCGCAGTAAGTGGAGATAGCGTCACTGCACTTTACTTCATACTGGACAACACAGCGAGACATCTCAAAAAAAAAAAAAAAGAAATAAGAGAAGAGTAAACCTATAGTATAGCAGTCTAGAAAGTTATCCCCAGAGCCAGATGCCAGAGTAACAAACATGAAGTTACTCTTCATGACATTAATACTCATTAAGTTAATAAACCAGAAGGCTGAGAGACTAGTGGAAATAGGATGTCACAATTTTTTTTTTTTTTTTTTTTGAGACAGGGTCTTGTCTCTATCACCCAGACTAGACTACAGTGGTATGATAATGGCTCACTGCAGCCTCAACCTCTGGGGCTCAAGCAATCCTGAGTAGCTGGGACTATGGTGTGCACCACCATACCTAGCTAGTTTTTCATTTTTTGTAGAACCAGGGTCTCACTATGTTGCCCGGGCCTGTCTTGATCCCCTGGCCTCAAGCAATCCTCCCACCTCGGCCTCCCAAAGTATTAGGATTACAGGCATGAGCAACGATGACTAGCTAGATGTCACAATCTTAAGACATGATTTTCAAGTTCTACTTTTTTAGCCAAGGCGCTTAGTGCCAGAAAACTCTCAGTATATCACTTGACAGATGCTAGAAGATGTTCTGAAAGAAGCTTTAAGTCCCAGGTCAAAAGGGCCTGCATTCTGAGGCCCCTTTCACAAAACCCAGGAGAGAGGCAAGAAGTAAGAAGAGAATTAGGAAATACTCCATGGGAAGAAAGCTGAGCAAACTGAAGATATTCTAAACAAAAAAGAGAAACTTGGGAAACTAATAGCTTCTGCATGGCTAAAAGAAGTTCTTCATATTCATCAAAGGTACGCAATCAGGACGCCATAACAGCAAAACAAAGAAAGTGAGCTTTAGTGTCAGACTGCCTGAGTTTGAATCCCAGCTTTACTAATCCCACTTATTAACTATGGAATCCTCCTCATTTTCTTCATCTGTAAAACAGGTAACAAGAGTATTGGCCTCACTATGGTTGTTTGCACGATCATAAGAATATCTTTTTTTTTTTTTTT